AAAAAAAAAAAAACCTATATGGGGCACAGCTACAGTTACCAACTGCCCTGATCACTTTAGAACAGTGGTTCTCAACCTGTGGGTCGCGACCCCTGGGGGTGTGTGTGTCAAACAATCCTTTCACAAGGGTCGCCCCGATTCATAACAGTAGCAAAATTACAGTTATGAAGTAGCAACAAAAATAATTTTATAGTTGGGAGGTCACCACAACATGAGAACTGTATTAAAGGGTCGCAGTATTAGGAAGGTTGAGAACCACTGCTTTAGAAGGCTCTGAATAAAGTAAGAGAGAAGTGTGGATCAAACTTCAAAATCACCCAGGAGACCAGGCTTACTGACATGAGAAACAGGTGGAAACCCCTAAACTGTGACCTTCAGGTCACCCTTGAGGTCTGAAATGAAAGGGAGGCCCTTGCCTCCATTTTCAATCAAAGAACCGGTCCATACGGGGAATTATAACATTAGTGAGGTACACAACTAGGAAAACTCAACCACCTGGGATCAGGGGAGCCCCACGTGCCAGACTAACCGGTCAGAAGGGTCAGGAGAGGCGGAGGTGATGAGACGAGTGGTGCTGCACTGAGAGCACTGCAGTGACTGAGAGGAAGCAAACTGAGCATGAACTGCTGACCATCCAACTGATGCTGGGCTTTGTAGATCTACCACACGCACAGCACAAGTGGAACAGAGTAGACGAAGCACCATTATGTGCTACAGCATTCACGGATGTTTGCATGTTATGGTGAGTGAAATAATACACCACTCACAAAAGGACACATATACAATCTCACTCACATGAAAACAGGCAAGTTTAGATTATGAGAGAGGGGTCCAGAGGGAATAGAGGCATCTTTTCTAAGGGGGAAAGAGGAGTTCCTTGAGATTCTCTAATGAACTTTGGACAATTTGGAAACGGCAGTAATGGTTGCATAAAGTGATAAGCATAATTATCGTGACTGAATTGTACATATAATAAATGTTCACCTGGCCAATGTTTTACTATATATATTTTTTAGTACAATGAAAGATTTTAAAAGGCAGAACCAGACAAATGTCTCTCCTCATTTTCGGCCAGAAGAATAAATCTCATTATTTTCATTATAATCATTATCATTAGAATCTCACTGTTTAGCCAACCTCTGATCTGTTCTCTAAAAAAAAAAATGTGTCATTTTCAAACACTTTTTACTGCTGAGAATACACCAGCAGAAGACACACCAAATTCACTTCACCTTATACAATGCTGGCATTAGTTCTTCAAGCTGGGAGACCATTCTCACTCTCCAGTGGAGTTCTTCCTCTCCAACTAACCTTGATCCACACTGCCTCAAAGTCAAGTTCCTCACCTATGCTCTCTGTTGTCATTCGTTTCACCCCACAGAGACAGTACTCAGAGGGAGAGGGAGCACTAGAACTGAATGTGACAGCACAGCTCATTTTAAAGGTGACAATGATAGGGGAGATATATAAGATTGATATGATAATGACTGTACAATTCTCCTCCAAATGACTGAAAGACTGAACTACTGAATTGTATGATTAGTAAATCATGTGCCAATAAAACGGTTATTAATTTTTTTTTAAAGTCAGTTCTTAGAAGAACACAACACTCAAAGGACATATTTTCTTAAACTAGGTTAACTAAACTAGTGATTGGTTTTAAAAGGAACTCAAGGAATTTTTGTGTTTAAAGTTGAAAGCCTTTCTCACAGAAATAGTTCCAGGGTTCATAAAGAAAATCCAGAATCCATGAGAATCTGAAATTCTAATCTGCACTCACCATCCTGAGGATTCTTCTTTGGAATAGACACCATCCCGTACTTTAGGTCTCATGGTAAATGAGGCAATTAGCATACATTTCATATCCTCTCCTATCCTAACCCTCCTTTCTCTGTTGCTCCAAGTACATACAGACCAATTGTTATGACCTGACTGGCTGAAAGCTTCGAAGACCATAGGCACGATGCAATGAACTAGCAGGTTGACAAATAAAAACCAAATTCATTGTAACCAGTCCTATAGTTTCTGGGGTCTTGAAGGCTTGAAGTTGAACATGGGGCCATCTAGCAATGAAGCAACAAAGTTCACATACAACAGTGGTTCTCAACCTTCCTAATGCCTCGACTCTTTAATACAGTTCCTCATGTTGTGATAATCCCCCAACCATAAAACTGTTTTTGTTACTACTTCATAACTGTAATTTTGCTACTGTTATGAATCAAGTGACCCCTGTGAAAGGGTTGTTCGACCTGCAAAGGGGTCACAACCCACAGGTTGAGAACCGCTGACATAGAAGAAACATACCAGCCTGTGTGATCATGAGATGTCTAAGGAAATAGGTGTCAAAAGTTCAAACACAAGCAACCAAATTGATGTGAAGGAGCAAAGAAAAAGTGGAGACCAAAAAATTACCTGTAAGATAATTGGACAGAAAAAAAAAAAAAAAGATAATTGGACAGTCGCTCACAGAAGGGCCACAGAAGGATTGCTATACCCAGGATGCAGGATAGCCCTGTTGAAACACTTAACTATCCTCTAGTTCTTTAATATTTCCTCCCTATTATTATAGTCTTAGTTTTATCTCATTAATACTGTTAGAACTGCATGTGTTCATATGAATAATTCAGACCTTTCGATGCATGACGTCTAAGATAGATAAACTGTTCAGGAATTGTAATGCAAGCAATGATTCCCTTAGGGTAAAGAAAGGGGGGTGGGGAGACTGATAACAATGATGACAATATAGCCCCACTTAAGGGGAATGAATAACAGAATGGCGGGTGAATAGATACAATAGATGGTGTACGACATGGGGGGGAAAGGAATAATAATAATATTTAATATAATAGCGGGTTATTGGGAGGTTGGGTAGGGAGGGCAGGGATAAAGGGGAGCTGATATCAAAGAGTGCAAAGAGAAAGAAAATGTTTTGAAAATGATGGTGGCAACAATTGTCAAATCATGCTTGACCTAATTAAACTATGGATTGTTATAATATGTTAAGAGCCCCCAATAAAATTAGGGTTAAAAAATTGAGTCTAATCCAATTCAGAGGCACTGTAGAAGACTGGGTAGAACTTCCCCTGTGGGTTCAGAGATTCTAACTGTTTACCAACGTCGAAAGCTTCACCTTTCCATCACTGAACGGTGTGTTCTGAACTGCTGTCCTTGTAGTTAGCAGTCCAACATGTAACCACTATGCCATCAGGGCCCTGGAGTAGCAGGTTAGAGAGGGTTTTACAGTTAGAGTTTGGGGGAATGGGTAGGCCCTCTAATTCTCAGTGTCCTTTCCTGCATCAGGCATTGTCAATTGAGTCATGCCCCTCATATGGGGTTCATCTTAACTTTTAAAGGGAAAAAGGCAGTTTGTTTCTTCAAGATGAATCTTAGCAGAATGGCCTGGGGTGGAAAGTCTTAAGACATGGGCTGATTGACATCTCGTGGATAACTGACCATCATTTGAATTTTGATGTGGCGAGGGAGGCCCTGCCTGAAACTGATAAATGTCAGCTTGTATTCGTGCCTGAATGGCAGAGATATCCATATTCTTACTCCTCCCTTTCCTCCAGGAATGTTGTATAACTTCATTGTAAAAGTCCTTCAGATCTGTCGCTAAAATTATTCTTAGCTATTTTACTATTTTCTAAATAGATGCTACTGCAAATGGAATAATTTCCATGGCTGATGGCTTTAATACTGAGCTAGTAGGGCTCCTGTGGCACCTAGTTGATGGCCAATAAACACCTGCTGCATTACTATAAAGGAAAAGAGCACATCCTCACCCAAGGAGAGCAGATCCCTGTACACCTCCAGCATGACTTCAATGTACAGTTTCTTCTGCTCAGAGCTCAGTCTCTTCCATTCAGACTCTGTGAAGACCACAGTCACATCTTTGACTGTAACTTGTTCCTGGAAAAAGCAATATATCAGTGCTCGGCAAATCACACAAAACAAATTCCCTTTCATGGGAGTTTAGTGAGTGGCAGTATGTGGAAAAGCTTGTCTATTTCATTTCAGAGAACTCTCTTCTCCACAGAGTTCTTCTGGGCATGACTGTTTACATGGTTCTGGTAAAGTCTATAGGCCCGTCAATAATACAGAAATCATATCCTGGCCTTCAAACACGTATGATATCACGAGGGAGAAAATGTGTTAATCAACTGGTAAGCAGTATTTTAAAAAGTGACTTTGACCTATGCATCCATGGCAGCGATTGTGAAGTTGGTTAAATTGTTTACATTCTGGAAGGCATCACAAAGGTGGGCCTTAGACTAGGCACAAAAGACGGTTAAAGGCAGAAGGTGGAAGGACAGTCCAAGAAAAAGGAAAGGAAGTTAACAGGAGTTAACAGAAGGGGTCAAGAATGAGCATATAGAGTACAGACAACTGAATGTGGTCTATAAAATCACCACCTATGTTTCTGTATTTTAATAACCTTCTCAAATAGTTCATGGGAAAACCTACTTTTTTTGGGGGGGGGCATTTTTTCATGAAGTTTTCAAAGTCCCTTGTATAGTAAAAAGGTTAGTAAGAAAATGGTAACAATATTCCAGAAAGAAATGCTTAATGCTTCAAAATAAAACCTTTGAAGAATATAGGGGTCAGATTTTTTTTTTCAGCATTTATTTATTTATTTTTCTTTTCTTTCTTTTTTTTAAACATTTTATTAGGGGCTCATACAACTGTTATCCCAATCCATACACACATCAATTGTGTAAAGCGCATTTGTACATCGTTTCTCAAAACATTTTCTCTCCACTTAAACCCCTGACATTAGGTCCTCATTTTCCCCCTCCCTCCCTGCTCCCCCCTCCCTCATGAGCCCTTGATAGTTTATAAATGGGTATTTTGTCATATCTTGCCCTGTCCAACGTCTCCCTTCACCCACTTTTCGGTTGTCTGTCCCCCAGGGAGGAGGTCACACACAGTTCCATGTAATCGGTTCCCTCTTTCCTACCCATTCTCCCTTTACCCTCCCTGTTTTGCCACTCACACCACTGTTCCTATAGGGCTCATCCGTCCTGGATTCCCTGTATTTTCAGTTCCTATCTGTACTAGTGTACCTCCTCTGGTCTAGCCAGACTTGCAAGATCAAATTCGAGTCATGGTAGTGGGAGCGGGGAGGAAACATTTAGGAACTAGAGGAAAGTTGTATTTCTCATCATTGTTACATCGTACCCTGACTGGCTCATCTCCTCCCCGAGACCCCTCTGCAAGGGGATCTCCAGTGGCCTACTAATGGACTTTGGATCTCCACTCCGCACTCCCCCCATCATTCACTATGGTAAGATTTTTTGTTCTGATGATGCCTTATACCTGATCCCTTCAACACCTCGTGGTTGCATAGGCTGGGGTGCTTCTTCCATGTGGGTTTTGTTGCTTCTGAGCTTGATGGCCGCTTGATTACCTTCAAGCCTTTAAGACTATAGGGGTCAGATTTATGGAAACTTTTTATTCTTGTTAGATGCCAAGGCGTGGGGCCTGAATCAGAGTGCCCCTACGTATAGTAGAGCTAATCTTTTCCGGTTCCTGGGCATCTTCACAATTATTGTCATGCTTGAGCCCATTGCTGTAGCCACTGTGTTAATCCATCTCCTGGAGAGCCTTCCACTTTTCACTGCCTTTTCAAGCACTGACTGATCAAGCCTGATGTCCTTTCTCCAGGGACCGATCTCTCCTAAGAACATGTCCTAAGTACCTAAGTCTAACCATCCTCACAACACTAGTATTTCTCCAGTCAGAAATATTTGAAGAGCCCCCTCTCTGCTTATAAAAATAAGATATAGAACATTACCTTTGTGATCTATGTTCCACCAATTGGCCTTTGTGTCCCCTAAGAATCTGCAAGATCCCCAGAACATGGATGAAACAGAGCATACTATGGTGAGTGGATTTCGTTAATCCCAAATGTCAAATATCGTTCACCTATTGTAAAAAGGCAGCAAAAGCTTTACACACTGAAATATTTGGGGATTACCCAAAGAAGAGAAAGGGAAGGTAAGTCACGTATGATCTAGCGTGGAAAGAACGAGCACATAGCCCAAGGGGTGTCAGCACCAAATGATCAAGGCAAAGGGAGATACTAAGAGGACCACAGAAGCTACTGTCAACACAGAAAAACAGGGTCACATCTCCAATCGTGCAATGACAGCACTAATAATCATCCTCCACAAGTGGATCCAGGGACACTAAGGAGATGGGTCACCAGACCTGTAGGCTTAAAGCCATAGTCTTAGGGTACACCAGCCGCAACTGGTACAAAACCACATAGATAATATTCTACACTGTCTTTCTGGTGAGTAGTGACTGGAGACTTCAAAGCTTGTGAGTGGCTAGTTACAGTCAAATGATCGCTTTCTTCTGTCTCAAGTAAAGACAAATGAAGAAAATCAAAGACAGTAGACCAAAATTAGTCCAAAGGACCAATGCAGCACGCAAACCACAGTCTCCGTGACCCTGAGACCAGAGGACTGGATGGTGCCTGGCTAGCCTGGCTGAGCTCTGAAGAGCATCACACTAGTAAGCCTGTACAAAGTGAGAGAAAGGTTAGAACAAAACTCAAAATTACATGAAAACCAGGTTTACAGGCCAGATAGAAATCAGTGGAACGTCTGAGATTTTGGCTCTCTTAGGCAATCTTCAGGCTTAGAACAGAAATCACCATCATAGCTTCACATTTAGTCAAACAAGAGACAGGCAAATAAGGTAAATATAGTACCAGAGAAATATGCAGTTTATCTGAACAATAAACTATGGCAGCAAAAGGAAGCATTTATCCAAGGACAAAGTTCAGACAGCAAGAAAGGTAGAAAACTAGAATCATAAACACAGGGAAGAAATGGGAAGAATGGTGTTACATTGTCATTGTAGGTATCAATACCAGAAATCAAACCATGTATGAATTGTTGAACAGAAAACAACAAAAGAAAAAAGGAAAAAGAAAACCAATATGCTGGTGGGTGGTGGGTGGTGGGTGATGGGGCGGGAAAGAGAATTTCAGGAATGAAAATCAAAGGCTGAAGAGGAGAGGGCTCACTAAAACTGATTGTGATTGCACAACTTATTTTAAAGGCAATTTAAAGATGGGGTCAGTGCAGGAATTTTCAAAAATTGATGTATGATGTGGTAATATGAATGAAAAATTCTTGATATGATCGAAGGATTGAACTATTGAATTGTACGATATGTAAATTATGTGACAATAAAACCAATATGGTCTGGAAACTTTCACTCACATCACAATGACTTAAAAATCAGGGGGACCATCAGTCCCGTTGTTTTCTCCCACTGTCTTCTCCTCCACATTGTTTATCTGGAAGAGGAAACAACGAACTGAAGGTTCCAGGGGGACATGGGAGGAGGCGGTAGGGGAAAGTACTTGGTGTTAACCAACCCAGGGACAAGGGAACAACAAGTGATCCAAAATCAGTGGCAAGGAGGGTGTAAGAGGCCTGGTAGGGTGTGATCAAGGGCAATGTAACAGAGAGGACTTACTGAAATCCAAATGAAGGCTGAGCATAATAGTGGGACAAGACAGTAAAAGGAAATAGAGGAAAGAACTATGAGGCAAAGGGCATTTATAGAGGTCTAAATACAGGCATAAATACATATATTTATATATGATGATGGGGAAATGTGGGAAACAGAAGGATTCCTCTCAAGCTGTCTCCCCAAAATATATGCCATACTTAGCTGCTTGAGAATGACTATACACTTGGAGGTCATCAGGAGTGGATTAGGGGTCATTCTCCCTAAGAGTTATCAGCCATCTAGACCAAACAGACACCACTGTTTATTCCACAAGTAGGGCCCACTCCCTTCTAATAAGGATAGTGGTTGTCTGTTTCCTTGTAGGAGACACAAGAGAGGTCAAACCCGCCCAAGGATGACCAAGCTTAGGCTGCCATCATGAATCCCAGGTCTGCCCATCTTGTCACATGTATACCCCTAGACCTTCCCATTCCTATGGGCACATCCCCTTCCTGTTACGCTTATGCCTATCATAGATCCCCTTCCTACAATGTGTATGCCTACTGTACAACCCCTTCCTGTGACGTGTGATTCTGTAATCATGTCCCCCTAAAGTGATAATAATGATTGGTGAGCAATAAAGAAAAAGCTCTCTCTGGAGCCCAGGAAGCTGTCCCCAGTCCTGGCTTCCCGGGGCCCTCTCTGGCTCTCGGCCCCCGAGGCTGCTCCCACTCTCATGGCCAGGTTACCCCCACGTGGACCATCAAACGGGGCTGAGGTGAGCAATGCTACCATGAATTGTGTCTGACTCCATTACTTGACTATCTTTTACCTCTCATGCTTTCTATGACTTTACTATAATCTGTACTTATTATCGCTGCACAATTTCGCCTACCGGACCTGTGATGATTTGTGGGGACCCCCTCCCTCCTTAACCCCACAGGGAAACAGATCGATGTGCATATATTTGTAGATTTAGTATTAAGGTAGCAGATGACCATTGGGCCTCCACTCAAGTACTCCCTCAATGCAAGAACACTTTGTTGTATTAAACTGGCATTCCATGATGCTCACCTTCCCGACACAATTGCTGAAGACAAATGTGTGCATAAGTAAATGTGGTGAAGAAAGCTGATGGTGCCTAGCTATCAAAAGATGTAGTGTCCGGAGTCTTAAAGGATTGAAGGTAAACAAGCGGCCATCTAGCTGAGAAGCAACAAGCCCACACGGAAGAAGCACACCAGCTTGCGTGAGCACGAGGTGTTGAAAGGAATCATATCATTGTGAATGAGGGGGAGTGTGAGTGTGGAATGGGAACCCAAATCCCATCTGTAGGCAACTGTACATTCCTTTACAGAAGAGTCGTGGGGAGGAGACGTGTCAGTCAGGGTGCAGTGTAGCAACGATGAAATATACAACTTTCCTCTAATTCTTAAATGCTTCCTCCCCGCACCCCATATTATCATGATCCCAATTCTACCTTACAAATCCAGCTAGACCAGAGGATGTACACTGGATAAGAACTGGAAACACAGGGAATCCAGGACAGATGATCCCTTCAGGACAAGTGGTGAGAGTGGTGATACTGGGAGGGTGGATGGAAGGTGGGTAGAAACAGGGAACTGATTACAAGGATCTACATATAACCTCCTCCCTGGGGGACAGACAACAGAAAAGTGGGTGAAGGGAGATGTTGGACAGTTTAGGATATGACAAAATAATAATAATTTATAAATTATCAAGGGCTCATGAGGGAGGGGCAGCGGGAACGGAGGGGAAAAATGAGGAGCTGATACCAAGGGCTCAAGTAGAAAGCAAATGTTTTGAGAGCGATAAGGGCAACAAATGTACAAATGTGATGGACACACAATGGATGTATATATGGACTGAGGTTAAGAGTTGCATGAGCCCCCAATAAAATGATTTTTTTTTAAAATGGGGAGGCGGTAGTTTGTGTAGTAGGGAACAGTCAAGTTTAAAAGTGGATATTTTGCACTCCCATGACCCAATCCTACCTTACAAATCCAGCTAGACCATAGCATGTACATTGGTACAGAGAACAGCCCTCAACACTCAGAATCCAGAGCAGATAAATCCCTCAGGAACAGTAATGTTAGTAGCAATACTATGAGGAGAGGGGGAAAGTAGGAGGAGAGGGAGAAAAGGGGGAACTGATTGCAATGATCAACTTATAACCCACACCCCCTACCCCAAGGGGAACAAACAACAGAAACATGGTGAAGGGAGACAGTGGATGATGTAAGATATGAAAATAACAATAATTTATAATTTATCAAGAGTTCATGAGGGTGGGAAAAATGAGAAGCTGATACCAAACGCTCAAGTAGAAAGAAAATGCAAAAAAAAAAAAAAAAAGAAAGAAAATGCTTCGAAAATGATGATGGCAACATATACACTAATGTGTTTGATACAATTGATATATGTTTGTTATAAGAGCTGTAAGAGCCCCCAATAAAATTATTTAAAAGGGGGGGGGTATTTTAAATCCAAAATGATAAGATTTGACACAAGGCCACTGCCTATAAGTAAGACTGGCTAAGTGATAGCTGAAGATATTTTTATGTTGATCTTCATTTTAAATGTTTAGCAGTTTAATAATTAAAGAGTAAAAATATGCCTAGGGTACAAGATGGTATCATATGATAATATCTGCATGAGTTCGCAGTGAAATCTAATAAGACGTCTTATATGACTTTCATGAACCTGAAATACTGTTCATAATGTTAACCTGAAGTATATATACCTATACACATATTTTTTTTTGAGTATATTTTAGAAGAAAAATAAAATACAAAATTGATAAAACACACAAACATTGTAAAACACCTAATACTTGACCTAACACCAAGGCATGCCCTCACACCAATGTCCAAAATAACCACTAACCTTTTGAAAACAGAATATAAAACTGTTTAGTCTTTGGGAAATGAGCTAGTAAGTAAGACAAATTGGGTAATAGCCTCTCACCATTACTGTAGACTTCCTCTTCTCTTCTTGGGGCCAGTAAGTACCCAGGGTAGACAAAACTAAGACAAGAAAGAGAAGGTGTGAGTAATCAGGCCACCCACCATGCTCCCAGGGTAGCTCTTCTGAGCCAGGATGGGAGGCAGTGGCCACCTTCTTCAGCTGTGGCCAGGAGAGCATCTCACCAGAGCCTGGGCACTTGGTCCTCCTCTTCACCGCCCCGGACTCTCCACAGCTCTCACTTTTTGCCTTCTGGGGTTGAGTCCATTTCATCACAGTCTCCATAGCTTCTCTGCTCTTTGACGGAGTTCTGTTGCCTGGGCTGAGTTCTTCACACCTGAGTCTGAACGCCAGGTCTTAGAAATTACCAGCTCAGGCCATTCTGCTAGGAATCATCATGAAGAAACAAACTGTAGACAGTTAACCCCAACTGAAGTACAAATGGCTAATAAACACGTGAAAAAATGCTCATGAGCACTAACCATCAGGGAGATGCAAATTAAAAACACACACCCATAATGCTAGTCCACATAAAACAACAACAAAAACAAACAAACAAAAACCGACAACAACAAATGCTGGAGAGGATGTGAAGAGGCTGGAACTCGTATACATTGTTGGTGGATATAAATAGATACAGCCACTGTGGAAAATTCTATGGTTATACTTAAAGCAATTGGGAATTGAAATCCCATATGATCCAGCAATCCCACTTATGCCCTAAAGAAATAAGAGACATAACATGAGTGGATGTGTGCTCTTCCATGTTCCTAGCGGCACAGTTCACAATAGCAAGAAACTGGAAGCAGCCCAAATGCCCAACAGTGGAGGAAGGGATAAAGAAACTATGGCACAAACACACAATGGAATACCATGCATCCCTAAAAAACAGTGATGAAAGCATGAAACACCGCATGACATGGAAGGACCTGGAAACTATTATGCTGAGAGAAGTCAAGCACAACAGACAAGTATTGTCTGAATCCACTACTGCAAGAAGCAAGCACCAATTAGACAAATCTTAGGAAACAGTTCTTGCAATAAGGGGAGAAGACTAACTACAGACCATGGACCATACATACATCACCTCCTTTCTATGCATTTCACAAGAGCCCATTTGAAGACCTTACATTGTCTGTGGCCACACCCTCAAGGGACAGAACATGAGAGATGACCAGCCACTTTAGGCTACAAAACTATGAGACAAGACTGGAACAAATCAAGGGGCACCCTGTAGGAATGGAAGATCTTTGCCAGAAAACCAGGCTAAGACCAGGGGAGGAGAGCATCTACATTTTGGAGCTCTCCGTGGGAGATTATGGTGACTGGGGAGAAGTCGACTCACATCAGAAAGAGGTGCTAAACAGTGGTTGTAGGGAACTTTTTTTTTGGGGGGGGCGTGGAGACAATGGACCTGATTTTATGTTCCAGGGTAGACTCTATAAATATGTTTCTACCCAAACCTCAGTGAACCATGCCATGGTCTAAAGCGGATGACCTAGAAGGCTGATGTTACAGGTCAGGTGACATAGTGCAGGGCTATGCCAGGACTCAACAGAGGCCGAGCTGAATGACCTGAGCCCTGCCTTGAAGTCACCTACACCCTTGGACTGAGGAAAGGGGTATTCAGAGGGGAATGGAAGCAGAGTGGCTGCCCAGGGACTGTGGTAATGGAGGTCACTGGACCTTGGGGGCAACCCCCAACTAAGTGGGTGCCCAGTGGAAAGGGAACCAGAATCACCATATATTTAGTACCTGAATGCCCACCCCACCCCACCTCAAGTGATATGGTTTTGATCTGCATTTGGAAGAACTGAGCCAGGACGCTTTCCCCTGGCACCAAGACCTGTACTTACAGTAAACAGAGCTCAAGAGAAAGAAGATCTGAAAAAATAACAATTTATAAATTATCAAGGGTTCATGGGCGGCGGGGGGGATAAGGAGCCGATACCAAGGGCTCAAGTAAAAAGAAAACATTTTGAAAATGATGATGGTAACAAATGTACACAATGGATGTGTGCTTGGATTGTGATGAGCTGTACAAGTCCCCAGTAAAATGATTAAAAAAAAAAAAAGGAAGGTCTAACTGTGTAGGCCAACAACTAACTCATGGGCTGTGACTTAAGGCAAATCTGTACTCCCACAGACTCTTCAGAGTCCGGAGTACTGTGTCATTGGGATGTCACCAGTGCAATTGCCTTATCCCCCAAGGGAATGATTGACAAGGTTGTATTTTTGTGTGCATATGGATTTTTCTGTTCATGTCATCTAATTTTTAAAAAATTTCTGTACTTTTCATTTGTATGTGACTGTTTGCTGGTTGGTTTGTCATTGGTGCTGGTATAGTTGATCCTGTGGGGCTTTGATTTTGTCATAAGAGGACCGCCAAAGTAAACCTCAGTCTAGTATATACCAAGGACAAGCAGATGGATTCTGGGGTCCCACTTAACTCAAGCCCCAATCCACAAAGTTAGTTTTGAGAACATGGCCATGCTCCATACTCGCCTCCATGACATGATCACTGGGAGCAGTGGTGCCAGGCTATCAATCAAGAGTGTCGGGAATAGTATCTGGTGTGTTCAAACAAGTAGCTATCTAAGCATGGAGTCAACTTAGCTACACCAAAGAAACACACCATTCTGAGTGATCCGAACATGACACTAACAAATCAAATATGAAAAAGGGATACATATCAGAGCTGAAATTATGAACACCCAATGTGTGGAAGGCTGTGGAGGACAATGGAAGCCGAAAACCCATCTGCAGAGTAGCTGGTGAGATTAAGCCACTGGCAGATCCCCTCTAGCTACAGGTAAACAGTCTGTACTATCTGGAACAGACTTTACTATCAAACATAGATGATCAATGGAAACCTATGCTGGATCAAACTTGATACTTGGTCAGTTGACCTCCCTCTAGACCCAATCTGAATTTGTTCCAAGTGTGAGGATCTCTTGCTTATACTGTAGTGATGTAGCGTTAACACAAGGACTTCCATTTATTTTCAAACTGCCTTTAACCCCTGCTAGGAGTCAGTGGCCCTTCTCCTTCCCTCACCTGGCTTTCCAAACAAGACTTCGACTCTTCAGAGACATCTGCAAACTCTGCCTGCTTAATTAACAAGAAATGTACCATCTTGTAAGACCTTGAATTAGCATCTGCAGCTGTGCTGGTCCCCTGAGCCCCATGTAGCTGCTAGAACATCCCTCATGAGCCAGCCCACTACTTTGAACTATAAAAAATCACGAAATGTCTTTGTTCTGAATTGAGAGGTTTCCAAGCGCTAGCCTACTCTCAATCCAGCTGTTTAATAAAGGTTTTAATTATTAATATCGTGGTGGAGTTGATCTTATCTGGTACAATACCATGGCAAAACTTCTTGGCTTTATAAATATCGATGGTGGTCTTTTCTGTGTTACTCATTGTTTGCACTTTTATGTTATATTACTCTTGTTTTATCCCCACCACTTTGTTTAGTTCTTTATGGTTTCTGTTGGGTTTACAAACACTTTGTGAAATACAGAAGTGGATGCAGAGATTAAAAACTGAGCAAGGGTTTGTCGGGAATGTAAGGGTGGATTGGGGAGATGAGGAGAGTGGGGTTCCTGGAGTAAATGGAGGAGGAGGGGGAAGGCGCTCTAGAGCTGAATGTGATTACAGAACTCACTTGAAAGGGAACTTAATCGGGGTGGGGTGGGGTGGGGATTAGAATTTTTAAAAATGTTCTAAGATTGATGGTGGTTAAGACTGTATAATTATTCTTGAGAAGATTGAAAATTGAATTGTATGATCTGTGGATAGCCAATTAAAATAAACTGTGGAAATATACCAACCAATAAAAACAAAAACTGTGGAAAAAACCAACAACCAACTGTGCCTTTTCACCTTCAAAAGTTAAAATAAACCCCACCTGAATGGCAAGACTCACTTAATACCTGATGCCAGAAGGGACACTGCAATTCCAAGGAGAAAGAACAGTCTGAGTACTAGAAGGCCTACCCTTTCACCAAAGCACTACCTGGAAAATACTCCCTAACCTGCTGCTCAGGTGCCCTGATGGCTTATTGGTTACATGTTGGGCTGTTAACTGCAAGGACAGAAGTTCAGAACCACCTGCCACACAGCAAGAGAAAGTTGAAGCTTTCTACTTTGATAAAGAGTTACATTTTCAGAAACCCCCCCAGGAGCAGTCCTATAAAGTCAGTATAAATCCCAATCCACTCAATGGCAGTGAGGTTCATTGGGAACCTGTTGCTCAAGAAAGGAAATTTTGATGTCTTCCCGAGCATGAGCTCTCAAAAAACATTGACTTCCTTTCCCCTCTGAATACCCCTTTCCTCAGTCCAAGCGGTACTTTAGTATTTCCAGAAAATGGTAATGGTGTCAGGGTTTCCTTCCAAATGCTCTTGCAGGAAAAACAAAACTGAGCTTGGGGGTTATTGGATGGAACAAGACCAGAATGAAGATAACTGATGAAAATAAATCATGATATGTCATGTTACAAGAATATTAACATATGTAATCCTCAATATATTTTTGAAACTACCTTGTAGATCAAACAAGATTGGACATGAATTAATAAAGGCTGAATCTACTGGTGGGATCAGGTGTCTCATTGTGCTGTTCTGAAGTTTAAGATGTATCAGTGATAAAAACTTCAAATCGGAATTACTGATACCTGGATCGCACCAGAGATGCTGGAAGTGATCAGGACCATCAGCCAACAGTCAATGGTTCCCTAGCCTACCTGACAGCCCTGCAGCACAGGTGGCCTGCTGGGCCCCAACACTCCAGGTAGAAGCTGACAGGGGAAGAGAAATCTGGGAAAGGTCCATTGAAATGGTCACCCTCAGGATCTACAACTGTAGATCTGTCACAAAGCAGAGCACAAACTGTCCTGCTGCTCCAGTCTCACCTCCATCAATCAATCACCTTCCCATCCCCACCACAAACCAATCAGAGCCTTACCAGGCCTCTTCTCTGCTCTCCCGTTTCTACTCCCATCTGGGTTAGGTAGCTGTAAACTAAAAAAAAAAAAAGGTCACTATCATCAAGACGACTTGGACTCAAGGTGACCTTATAGAGCAGTGCAGGGCCCTTCCTGTGAGTTTCCAAGGCTGGAGCAGAAAGCCTCCTCTTTCTCCCGAGGGGCAGCTTGTAGTTTACAACCGTTGACCTCGCAGTTCGCAGTCCAATGCTTCATGAGCCAGACCATCTGGGCTGCGTGTTGCCTCTACCCAAAGCAAAGACAGCTGACAAACATGGCAAGTCCGAGATTCCTGCCCTGGCAGAACCAAGCGCTCCTCACAAAAACCATACACACACAAACAAAACCGAAACCACCAAGCCGGGTTATATTGGCCAACCTGTACTCCTACCAACTCGGAACCTTACTGTATTTGTTCGTGGCTGAACTCACACCCACAGCTCCCATAACCCCAGGTACTCTGAAGTCCGGGATTGTTTATTCCAGGTTAATCC